GGGGGGGGGGGGCTTTTCCTGTCGCCGCAGCTATTCCGAAGCGCCCGTTTCACCCCCACCCCGCCCGCCCGCGCGCGCGCGCGCTTCAATCCACAGTGTCCCGTTCTGCCTGCCTGCCTGCCTGCCTTAGTTTCTGGTTGTTTGGGAGCAGTTTCAGCTGAGAATAACTATTCGCCTCTTTTACTCAGCCGAAGCTGTTCCGATTCAACCATTAACGAAGGCAGGCAGGCAGGCAGGCAGAACGGAGCACTGGGTAAACCCCCCGCGCGCACGCGCGGGCGGGCGGGCGGACGGGGTAGGGGTAGGGGAGAAACGGGTGCTTTGGAGGCGCTGCGGCGACAGGAAAAGCCCCCCCCCCGCTTCTTTGAAGCAGTTTCTCCTGGGCTGGTGGAGGAGCGAGAGAGCGACTGAGAGAGCTGACCCAGAGAGAAGGACAGGCTTCGGTTGCTTCCTCCCTCCCCTTCTTTCATTTGTGTCCTTGATCCCCGATCCCAGCAGCATTCACCGAAGGTGAAGAAAGCCGCCATTTTTTTTAAAAAAGAAATTCTTTGCGGCCCGGTAGAGAGTGCTCCGCGGCCCGGTACCGGTCCGCGGCCCGGTGGTTGGGGACCCCTGTGGTAACCCATGCAACCAGAAAACATGGGAGATAAACAATTGAGCTGTTATCTTGGCCGATGGAAGACCCGCACACAGAATAAAGTGGGCCATTTTAGTCAACATATCCACCACCACCAAAATGGTTGTGGCACCATTCGATGGTGGTAACTCAACAATGAAATCCAATGAAACTGCCCCCCACAGTCGTTCTGGCATGGGCAAGGGCTGCAAGAGACCAGGGGGCGCACCAGGAGCATACCTGGCTTGGCGATAGATCCCATAGGACTCCACATATCCCGACACATCATGTTTACGTCTCGGCCACCAAAATGTCCTAGAGATGAGGTACAGTGTTTTGAACACTCCAAAGTGTCCTGCCGCCAGACTATCATGACATTGACGTAGGATAAGGCCACGAAGAGGACCTCCAGGCACGTAAATGCAATCACGGAACTGCAACAGGTTCCCAATATATGCCCAAGGAGTCTCTTGTCTCCCATTCTCATCCAATTCTCGATGTCAAGCTGCCACAAATGGGTCCTGTCGCTGCGCCTCCTGAATCCTCACTCGGAGGTCCACAGGTTCCTTGGTGGCCACAAACCGCTCCAACGGAATTACCAACTGGGGCAAGATTTTATCCTCCCTTCGGGTATACTCGGGCTTCCGAGATAGGGTGTCGGCGCGTTGATTCCCTCCACTCGGAACATAGGTCACCTAGAAATCAAATTGAGCAAAGAATAAGGACCATCTCACCTGACGCTGGTTCAATGTCCGAGCTGTACGTAGGTTTTCCAAATTGCGATGATCCATCCAAACCTCGATTTGGTGACAAGCCCCCTCCATGTGGTGCCACCATGTCTCAAAAGTGACCTTAACTGCCAATAGCTCCTTGTCCCAAATCGTATAGTTGCTCTCTGGAGCTGACAACTTCCGGGAATAATAAGCACACAGGAACAAGGTGCCTGCGGGAGCATAGGCCTAGAGGAGCACTGCACCAACAGCCACATCAGAAGCATTTGTTTCCACCACAAATGGTTGGCCTGGATCAGCGTGTTTGAGGATAGGCTCAGAAGCAAAGGCGACTTTCAATGCCTCGAAAGCTGCCTGCTCCTCAGCACCCCAATGGAACTTCTCCCCCTTCTTGAGACGATTAGAAAGGGGAGCAGTCAAGGCAGCAAAGCAGGGAATAAATGTGCGGTAGTAGTTCGCAAACCCCAACAGTCGTTGCACATCCTTAACCCGCTGTGGAGGTTCCACACCTGGAACAATTGCATTTTTTCCGGGTCCATTTCCACCCCGGCAGGTGAAATACGATGTCCCAAGAAGTCAATCATGGTTTGTGCAAACTGACATTTCTCACGTTTAGCAAACAGGTGGTTATCATGCAAATGTTGCAACACCAGCCGTACATGTTGCAAATGTTCCTGCAGGGAGTCTGAGTAAATTAAAATGTCATCTAAATAAATGACCATGAATTGATCCAACAAATCACGGAAAATATCGTGCATGAAATGCAGGAACACAGCTGGGGCATTGGTTAATCCAAAAGGCATCATGGTATATTCAAAATGCCCGTACCTCGTCCGGAAAGCTGTTTTCCATTCATCCCCTGCACGAATGCGAACCAGATTGTAGGCCCCATGCAAGTCCAGCTTTGTAAAGATCTTAGCTTGATGAAGCCGCTCAATCAATTCAGGGATGAGGGGAAGCGGGTACCAATTCCTCACTGTGATTGCATTCAACTTGTGGTAATCACAACACAAACGTAGCTCTCCTGATTTCTTTTTTACAAAAAGCACCGGTGCTGCCAATGGGGAGGTAGAAGGCCGGATAAACCCTTTTCGGAGGTTCTTGTCAATAAAATCCCGCAACGCGGCCAACTCCGGTTCCGATGGAATATATCCGACCCATCGACAATTTTGCATCGGGCAACAAGTTGATTGGACAGTCATACGCCCGATGCGGAGGCAGCTGATCTGTCTCCTTCTCCCCAAACACATCAGCAAAGTCCACCAACTCCGTAGGTAGATCCAGGTCCACAGGTGTAGCCACGCTCCCTGCACAGGAGCGCAAGCAATGGTTGGCACACTTCCTATCAAAGAACTGCACAGCTCCAGACGACCAGACAATCTGTGGATCATGGGCCTGTAACCACTCAAACCCAGCACCACCGGAAAATGAGGCACTGCGGTAACATAGAACACGGTTTTCTCCACATGCTGCCCAATAAGCATGCAAAGGGGTTTGGTTGCAGCAACCACAGGTCCCGAACGAAGGGGCCGACCATCAATCATCTCCACCATTACTGGCGGGGACACCTGTTGCTAAGGAATGAACCACTGCTCTACAAAATGAGCATCCATGAAATTGGCTGTGGCCCCTGAGTCAACCAAGGCTTGGATCTCCACCGCTCCCACACCAGGCACTAAAACACTTGCTGTCAGCACAAGATGCTTCACCAATCACAATTGTGGTGGAGATGTCAAAGGTGGCGAGGATGGAAAGGTTGGTGAAGATGGTGGGCTTAAGGACTTTACTCCCTGACCTACAGACCCCCGTAGGACGAGTGATGCTCGTTTCCCACCACCGCAGGCATCGCCGCTGTGGATGTCTTAATAGGACACTTGGCCGCAAAATGGCCTCGATTGCCACAATAGAGGCATAAACCATCACGATGACATCTATCCTTTTCTACAAGAGTCAGGTGAGGGCGGCTAGCCCCCAACTGCATGGGTTCCTCCAAAGGCACTTCCACCAAGAGTGCCGTCTTGCTGGAAACAGATACAGTCTCTGTTCGTCATCGCACCCATCGCTGCTGAAGTCTAGCATCGATACGAAGACACAGATGCATGAGCTCCTGAAGGGTGCGAGGGCATTCAGTGCACGCCAACTCATCCAGGAGCTCCGACCACAAACCCTTCTGGAACTGGTCTAATAGTACTGCCTCATTCCATTGTACATCCTGAGCAACCACCCAAAAACTAGCAATATAATCCATGAGTGAGCCACGCCCCTCCTTCAACTCTCTCAAACTTCTGTTTGCTGTTTGGCTTCAAACAGGGTCCTCAAACATGGCCTGAAACTGATGGCAAAACTCAGCGTAACTGTCCAACACCTGGTTGTGCTGGGTCAGCAGAGGTGTCGCCCAACGTGCTGCAGAGCCTGACAACAAACTAATCAAAAACCTCACCTTATCCCAGTCAGTGGGAAAGTCCTCAGGCCGAAGGCTCATGTAAAGCTGGCACTGCCCCAAAAATGCTGGAAATTGGGCCAGCAAGCCATCAAATTTATCTGGCACCGCCACTGGGCATTTTCAGCGTGGCTGGACAGCTTGCATTTGTGCCACCTGTTCAGTCAAAAGAGCCACTTGCTGGGTTAACTGGGCAATCTCTGCTTTGAGCTGATCCATGGTCACCCCACAAAAAGCAAAAATAAGTTGAAGGGGTGGCTGAAGTCAAAATGTGATGACCCGTAGTCTCTCAAAACAACCCCAACCCCAAAACATACATTAAAGTCTGGTAAGGCCTTCAACTTAACTTCACTGTTTTATTAGGCACAGTTTAAAGTCACAAAAGTAAATAAGGACGCAAAAAGAAAACCAAAACAAACCGCATTGATGAGAGTTCCGAAGCAAGCCAAGATAACTAATCATAAACTCCAGGAAAATAACCAAGGAGAGTCCATGGGAAGAACGCCAGCAAAGATAAACCTCTTTCAAAGTAAACACTAAACTTTGTCTCCAGCAATTCTGACTGCACAGTTCCAAACTTATATACATAGCTCCCAGCTGCAAGCCACGAGGAGGATCATGGTAATCTCTTGTGTAGACCTCGCTTTTCCTTGATCTTCTCCTCCCTGTGTGACCTAGGATAGATAGGGAATGGGCCTGGATCCGCCTCTGATTGCTCAGCCGGCCTCTGCCCTTCCCCAGCCTCCTCCACCATCTCTGGAGCCACACTCCCACTCTTATGTATCTTATAATTCTTGAGGAATGTATTTTATTTTTTTCTTTATGTACATTGAGAGCATATGCATCAAAGACAAATTCCTTGTTCAATCACACTTGTCCGATAAAGAATTCCATTCCATTCTATTCTATTAAAAGCCCAGGCATAATCAAGGGTGCTGTTTGATGTTTGAAAACCTCTGAAGATAGGTTTTGTTAGCATGTTGAACTGTATTTTCCTATTGAATCATCCTTGCAAAAGAACTAGCCAAGGTTGGGGTTAATGATTTCCTTTGTGACATTGATTACATACAGTTAATATGATTATTCCTCCATATTTCTTAGTGTTTTCTTTTTCTTGCACTAAAATTGATGATTTGGCAGCAACCTTTCGAGGGGCGGTGGGAGTTGTTTCTGAAGCTTCGACAGGGGCTGCATATGGCCTGCACCTTAAACTATGAAACCTAGACATACGAGAAGTGGGGAGGATTTTTCCCCTCCCCTAAAGAGCGAAAGGCATTTCCTCAACATAGTCGACTCTCGGGACTTTGTAGAGCCAAGGAGAAATTTGACAACACAGGAAATAAAGTTTATTGAAAACTACAGATATTCATAAACTTTCAAGCAGCAAATTCATCAGCTTGGAAGCATGGCTCTGGAGGATTGCTGCCTTAACATACAGCTGCAAAAGCAAGATGCATATGGAATTCATGAATTGAGGACATTTTTAGGAATCATACAATAAGCCCATGTGGATATTTAGTTCAACTGCTGAACAGTAAATATGCCATTGAAGGACAAACTACAGGTAGTCCTCAATTTACGACCATAACTGAGCCCAACATTTCTGTTGTTAAGCAAGACAGTTAAGTGACTTTTGTCCCATTTTACGACCTCTTTTGCCACAGTTGTTAAGTGAATCATGCAGTTGTTTAGTAGCACGGTTGTTAAGTGAATCTGGCTTCCATTTTAAAACATACTGGTTGAAATATGTTTTATGCAAGTCAACTTAATTAGTTGCTAAGAAAAAAATCTGAAAGGTGACATTTAATTTTTAAACAAAGCTAGCAATTAAGGCTGTTAGAACTGCATTGTGTCTAGCATTTGTAGATGTCCCTGGCAAACTAATGCCGTACTCTAAATAAATGAATAAAAATTTAAATTAATAAGTAACCATGACAATTAGGCTTGTGTTTGCTCATTTTGTGATCCCAAAGATTTCGTCTTCATGCCACAGATATTGATGAATGTGCCACTGGCAGAGCAGTTTGCTCTTTCAATCGAAGATGTATCAACACATTTGGAAGTTTTTATTGCAAATGCCAGATTGGATATGAACTGAAACACCTGAATGGCAGATATGACTGTGTAGGTAAGGATTATATTTCCTTCTGCCTATATTATGGGAAGTCTGAAACATCTTTAACTGATGCCAGAAGTCCCTTCATAATTTTGTTTTTGGATTTTCCTAATTATATAATAACTGATGACAATAAAAAGTAAAACAGCAAAAGGAACTTCCATTAAGGAGGGCTGTACATGTTTCAAAAATGATTTTATAAATATGGCTTGGAAGATGCCTAAGCAAGCACAGCTTCTCTTAAAGCAATGCATCATTTTTCTGGGTTCCAAGCAAACCTGAATACAAACATGGTGATTTAATGAGTTTCATTAAAATAATTTGTTTCAATGCAACAACATTATGTTACAAATCATACACGATGCTGCAACTGTTGTGCTTCTGACTAGATGTGTTAGCCACACAATATTCCTACTTCCCTGTGGGAAATAGATCTCTTTGTTATAATCAGAAAATACCAAAATTAGAAGGGAAACTTCAGTTATCCATTTGTTTGATGAGTTAAAGCTCTCTTCTACATAATGGAGAAACACTTGCCACATTCTGAATCATAATGCTTTAAGTAACTGAAGTCTACTAGATAGTAGGATGTCCAGCAATTGTTCAAACAAATATGTTTAAAATCAATAGCTGCAAATTATCTCTCCTAACAAAAATATATAATGCAATCTGGCTTTGTTTGGCTGATAAGTGAACTTGGATTTTGCCATGAATAGGACTTAGACCTGATATTTAGCAGTTGTTGGAATTTTTTAAAAAATGGTTTCCCCATATCTTGTAGAAAACTTACTTAAACAGATATTTCTATGAATTATTATCGTTGTCCCTAAATCAAGGCTCACTTGTTATGTATTTTTCTCCTGCCTACGGAATAGTGGGCTCAGAGTTTTCCACTCTGAATGAGATGAATACTTGGCACCTGTCCCACATTACTGTCCCTCAAAACTATAGAAAGGTAAGGACGAGGATTTTGTTAAAGGAGAAGTTAACAGTAACAACAACCAACATTTCATATCTGTATGCAAGAATTAGTATCTTTTCACAGTGTAAAGAAACTGCTTTATTTTCAATTTCCAACTTCAGTAATACATTTTGCTTAATATTTCCCTTTTTAGATATAAATGAATGTATAGCAAGTACACCAAAATGTAATTTACATGCAGAATGCCTGAACATTAAAGGTTCCTTCAAGTGCAAATGTAAACCGGGCTATACAGGCAATGGCTTTGAATGCTCAGGTGAGTTGAAGAACAGTGGTATAATATATATGGTCTCATTCTAATATTTTTCACAGATTTTTTAAAAAAATCTAAGCATTTTCAGAATGTGTCTTTTCAGATGAAAGACACATTTGAAACAGTGGGTTAGAGCCCATTCAAAGACATTAAAGGAATCAGCTTAAGCAAAATGAGCTGGTGGTGTGTTTTTGTTTTTTTACATTTTTTGAGCTGCAAAGTTAAGAGGACAACACTGGGATCAGGTTTTCCTTTATTAAAAGAGTAAACTCCTTGTTTAGATTATTCTATTTGCATTGCTTCTCTCCTATGGCTCCTATTGGGGCCCTAAGCCATCAGGTCTTTTGAAGGCATGAAAGTTGAGCCTCAGCGTGATTGACTCCCCAGCCTTTATCAACAAATCCCTGACTTTATATTGCCTATGAAATATAAAAAGCAAAGTTCAATCATTGGGAAAGTGTTTTTTTTCCCCATTTCTTCTTCAGGGGATTACTAGTAAATGCAGTCCCCTTGTGGTTTTATAACCTTGCAAGTGCACAAAAACTCAATAGAGAAATTCCTGGGAAGGCAATTGCTGTCTTTGAAATTGATATGACCCCACCCTCCACACCCAGCCTGGGACTTTGTTAAAAAGCTTGTCTATTGCTAATTAATTTTGTCAATTGCAGCTCTGCTCAGATATTTGGATTATTGTATCGTATATGCAAGAAAAAGAAAGGGCTGTAAAGCACTATGAAATGGTATACAAGTCTAAGTGCTATTGCTATTGCTAAAAAGGAAAACAAGGAATAGATCTGCAAAAAATAAAAATAACCTAGAGCCGTGATGGTGAACCTATGGCATGCGTCCAGGCATGGCATGCAGAGCCCTCTCCATAGGCATACAAGCCGTCCCCCCAGCCCTGCTCCAATCACATTTCTCCATCTTGTTTCACTCATTCAATTCCAACTTCTCGTGAAAGAACTCTTGCAAAGTTGGAATTGATCGAGTGAACTTCTTCACTCGCGTGCTTCCCAATGGGGAGCCACAACGCGACCAACGCGGCTCTTTTATCCCTCTGCTGTAGCTCCCTATGGCCCTGTTGTGGCAGAGGGATGAAAGGGCTGTCACCTTGTCGTGGCAGTGATGATGGGCGGAGCCTTAGTGCAGAAGGCAAAGCGCCCTTGTACTTGCTTTGTGTGGCAACCGGATTCCGCCTTTTTTGTTGGACTTATTTATTAAAGCACTGGAAATTTAGCTTCTTGATAGCTAAGAACAGATTTGTTGCAAATTAGGGTTTCCTGTTAACTTCTTCTCATCATATCCTGAGTGAAGATTCAGTGAACCATATCAAATTACAATATGTTCTCTTATAACATCTGTCTCTGGGGAAGAGAATTCAAGCGGACTAAACATTAACATTATATTGTCATGTAGACATCTGTATAAAAGTATTTTGAACATATTATCCATAGGATGGAGATATATGTGATTCTGGAGGAAAAGAATTTTAAGTATTTATTAACATAACATTGGCATTTAGACATCTGTATAAAAGAAATTTGGACATATTATCCATAAGATAGACAGATGCATTATTTGTTTTTATTAGATTTTCTCTTGCCAAAAACTGTAGCTCATACAATGACTACAGTATTACTAATCAGTAATATTGAATCCTTACTACTACTAATAATGAAAGTTAAATGGGTTCATTGGAAAGCCATGCTATTTTTTCTCTCATATTAAATTTTGAATATATTAGATTTTTTAAAAACATAGAAGTGTATGCTCATTTTAATTTTATTTGGGTAATGAATATTTTCCTTCATAGTTACAAAAGTTCAAAAGAAGAACATAAGAAATATTCAAAAATAAGTTACAGAAAACACTACCATTGCTGTCTTCTTTTTACATCCATATTTGGATTACAGACATCAGGATTTTGGAGAAATTGAGGTGTCCCAATGTCAGATTGTTCCAAATCCTAGATAAAATGGCTTCACTATGTGTAAGATAATTTGGACACATGTTTTGTTATTTCTTTTTCCCTAGCTGCTCATGAAAATTCAGTGAAAGCAATTCACAGGTTGTATGGCATTACCAAAGACAAATTCAAGAAACTGTTTCTTCACAAGAAAAGTGCAAAAAAGCATGATGACATAAAAAATACAATCCCAGCATCTAAACCTCATGTGAGTCCTTTAGACTATGAAGATGACTTGTATCCAGAGGGTGCCTTCAGTAAATGGGGGAAAAGCACTGAAGACATAAGAAAAAACAGAAAAACAATAGAACAAGAAAGTGTTGAAGAAGAAGGAGAAATGGAACATCTCAAAAACCAGACTGTCCATGAGAAGAAACTGAGGGGAGATGTATTTTGTAAGTTTCACTCCCCCACCCCCCAAATCTATTATGTTTATGACATTTTGATAGCACTTGCCCCCCAAAATAGAGGCAAAGGACTTTAAACATAAAATTGGTAAACAGATCCTACCAAATAAGGGGACACAATATTATCCCTTTATTATATACTAAATTCCTTAAATCTCATATAAGTTAGTCTTCTGTACTTTAGAGCAGGGGTCCTCAACTCCCGGTCTGTGGATGGTACTGGCCTGTGGCCAGTTGGGAATCAAGCAGAGCAAGCAGCAGGCAACCACGTGAAGCTTCATTTGTGCATGCATGGGATTAAGTTGCATGCATGAAATTATCCTCTACCCCCTGTTGTGGCACGACAGCAGCTGGCAGAGGTTGGGGAGGAGCATGGGCCAGTCTTGGAATCTGGGGAAGCCTCCAACACAGAGCGTTCATCAGAGCCTTCTCTCTGCCTGATAGATTTATTTTGATTGTGAAACTTTCAAGTGCCTTGTGGACTCTTTGGCCATTGCTCTGTGGTCTAGCATTGATCTGCTCATGAATGGACTTAATTGGGACAATTCTTTTTTTTTTTTTTTTGATGAAGGGAATTGCTGGGGGATATTAATAAAGTCACTAAAGAGCCTCGGTAGCACAGTGGTTAGAATGCATACTGCAGGCTATTTCTGCTGATCACCAGCTTCCAGCAGTTTGGCAGATCAGGTCTCACCAGCTCAAGGCTGACTCAGCCTTCCATCCTTCCGAGGTCAGTAAAATGAGGGCCCAGATTGTTGGGGGCAATATGCTGACTCTGTAAAGCACTTAGAGAGGGCTGTAAAGCACTGTGAAGCGGTATATAAGTCTAAGTGCTATTGCTATTGCTAAACCACAGTTTTATGCATGTATGAGTAAGCAGGCTAGCACAGTACTAAAAGCCACTGAGCGCTCAAGAAAAGCAAGGACAGATGCACCACACCTGTTCCACTCCCTCTAGAGCTCATTCAAGAGTTCCTAAAAAGGGAAGGTTGAAAATTGGAAGAAAAATGTGTAGTACCATGTGTCCAACAATGGCCTCTTGTAATGGCAAGGCTGAAACCTCTTGAGGATGAGGTGTACCACGCAGTGGTGGGATTCAAATTTTTTTACTACTGGTTCTGTGGGCGTAGCTTGGTGGGCATGGCAGGGGAAGGATAGTGTAAAATCTCCAGTCAGAGGTGGTATTTGCCGGTTCTCCGAACTACTCAAAATTTCCGCTACCGGTTCTCCAGAACTGGTCAGAACCTGCTGAATCCCACCTCTGGTACCATCACTTTCTTAAGAGACATGGAACTACCCCTTTCTCAAAGAGGAATTAATTATAGCCAGAACCCAATCCCATGTCACTTCTGGGTCGCCTTAGCCAACAGGAAGAGGCATACATCTAATACAGAAACGGGCCATGCTAACAGCCAACAGAACCTGCCTATTTCCTCAGTCCTATCAAAATCAAACTCTTCCTCAAACCCAAGCCTTGCTTACCTTAAAAGGTATTATAACCTTTGCAGATCTGACTTAGCTTCTTTGTCTGCAAAGGTACTTCCATGGATCTCTTCTCTGCATCATCTATGGTTGCAATATGTTAGCTCCAATAGGTAGACCAGATTAAGAAATTAACTCCACGGGATGATTAAATGACTTTTATTGAGATTGGCTATAATAAGAGAATCTTCCAAAGTTGATTATGCTACACCTCTTCTTGTTTTTGGATCCATGCCCTTCATGATTTGGATTTTCTCTAAACACAACAAACTGAAAAAATAATTTGCATAGAAATTAATAAACAATGATAATGATTGGCAGGCTTGTTTGATGACAGTCTATGACTGGCTTGCACATTACACTTGTTTCAATTTTTAAAACCATGCTTTGTTGAATACTTTGAAGATGACTGAGTTGATCCATTGCACAAAGCCATAAAAGTTCATTTACAATTGCACATGCATTCTGTGATGAGTTTTCTTATATGCTTTTTCTGTAATTCTTCATAATATGAAATTTTCTGTTGGATTACGTGTGTGTGTGTGTGTGTGTGTGTGTGCATGCAGGTGTGTGTTTAGCATTGATACTAATAATGTATGCTTTAATAAATTAGACAAAGAAGCTGCTGGTTTTGGCCCTCACATAGCATACAAAAAAATTCCAGTCTCAAAAGAAAATATACAAGGTGAGCAAATTTTAATTTAGGAGGTAGATTTTGATTTGCTAAAGTTTGGTTTAGCTATTAAAATTGCTTTAAATGATCTTGTCATGTATCACATTTATCAGAGCTAATCTGATAGAGCCATTTAAGGATTAGCAAAATTTTATTTGGATACATTTATAAAATTTATATGCTTTTAACAAGCCTCTAGGCATTTTCAAAGCTTTCTTCAGTTTCATAATTATCACTTGGTTTGTAAGATATCAGGTTGGTGACAACTACTAAATCTTGTGCTTTCTTTAAAGGCATATCACTGATATATTTAATTTTAACTTTTTGTCTGTGTCACTTCACTTTTTACCTATTGAACTTTCTATTAAAAATATTCCTGAAACTATAAAATCAGTTTTGTTTTAAACAAGACTGGTTTTGAAAGCATATCCTTCTGTTGGTTCTATGCATGTTATTCTATGCAAAAAGAAAAATGATAAAACTGAGCAAAAATATATTAAGCAAGCATCTATCTGAAATTGTATTGCCTCACTTGAGCTGGTGTGGACGTGGACAAACTGAAAAGTTTTTAAAACTAAAATGCATACATATTCTTTCATATTATTCATATTATGGTGCATGGCCTGAAGTTGCCATTGTGCAACAGATCACCATGGGATCAGTTTGTGCCAAGGTGTCTTCAAGGCCGTTTGCCCTGAGTTTGGAAAGTTAGCAGACAAAACACCCCAGTGATCCCCAAAAGTCCAGGCTGTATTACAATGGCTGGGTTTGGACTGGTCATGCGGGGAGGGACAGGATTGAAGGAAATAGTTTTGCCGTTTTGTGCAGGAAACTCAGATTCTGCCTGACTTTACTGCAACCAGCATCTCTTAGTAAAAGTACCTTTACTTCAACCAAATGGAGTCAAGGGTTTTTCTTCCCTAAGGAATCAGACTGGGGCTTGCTAAGATAAAAAGTACCTGAGTTACATGAAACATCATGAGATAATTGCTTCTTATACAACAATATACTTTTATTTGGGGTTTATAGCATTTGTTATATTGCAACAAATTGTAGGTAAAATTCTTTGGTTATATTCTAAATTAATTTTTATTGTTGCAGTTTTAGATTAATATAGTTTCTTGTCTTTCTGTTTCTGAATGTCAATCACTGTTCCTGGACATCACAGTTGTAGACTGCAGTTTTGGTCGAGGTTCTTGTGCTTGGCAACAAGATGTGTATGACGACTTTGATTGGAATCCTACAGATCATGAGTTTGGTAACTAATTATGTCCTGATCTAATGAAGTTCTATTCTTTAGCAGGAAAATAAACCAGCTTTTATTCATAGGGTTGGAGGCTTATTATTAAAACTTGGCACCATATTGAGTCTTTCTCTGGAAAGATTTCTAATTTTTGAGGGAACCCCTTGACCTACAGCAGGTTTAAGTTAAGAACATTCATCTAGTCCAAACAGCTCTCTAGAGTCTCAAACAGAATCTTTCAGTTCCTTACTTTCTGATCTTATTTAACAGGAGATATCTGGGGTTGAATGTGCATTTTTATTTTTTTTTGCTTAAACAGATGTGGCCTTTTACTTTTGGGGAAGTAACCATAGCATTCAGGATGTAACAAATGTCACAATATTTCCCCTTGTTATATTTTTCCTTCTGTATGTTTTTAGGTGATGGATATTACATGACAGTTCCAGCCTTCATAGGTCACAAGAGTGATGTTGGGCGTATGAAACTTCTTCTTACCCATCTGGAGCCAAAGAGCATTTATTGTTTGATGTTTAGTTATCGACTTGCAGGAGAAAGGGTGGGAAAACTGCAAGTATTCCTAGGCAACACTACTAGCAGTCCTTCCTGGGAACAGACTATGGGAAATGATGAACAATGGAGGATTGGACAGGTTGAAGTAGACACAGGGGCTGAAACAGCTATGAATGTAAGCTAAAGATTAAAAAAAAACCCACAGTTCATAAGGTTTTGCCTTATGTATAGAGTGTATCAGGGCTGGGTGTGTTAAATAAGTTGCATGCTATAAATGATTACTTGTAACTACCATATTTCCCCAAAAATTAGACCCAGACTTATTTTCCTTTAGGCTTGAAAATAAGATCTCGGTGAAATCTTTTTTTTTTTTTGAGTTGCAGGAGGCTGTGAGCATGTTACCTCATAGCTACTCAGCCCCTTAATTGCGGCCTGCAGATCAGCTGAGCCAGCGAGGACTGGGAGTTACCTCTCATTCTGTCTCCGGCGCCTGGAAATATTTCTGGCACACTCTTGCCAGCTCCAGCCTTGCCCCTAGTGCCAGACAACCTCACAGCCAAGGGCCCCTTGTGGCTCTGACAACCACGGTGTGTGCTCTGCCAGGCCTGGAGCTTAGCTTTTGCTCATGCTGCTGCTAAGATGAGGCAGAAAGCTATGGTGGCGCGCCTGCTCCAGAACCACAAGGTGTGCTGCAGAAGAGAGGGACCCTCGGCTGTGAGATTGCCTAGTGCCATGGGCAGGACTGGGGCTAGCAAGCGTGCACGGGAAACATCTCCATGCTCCTGGAGAGACAAAATGAGAGGCAGCTCCCAGTCCTCAGCTGATCTGTGGGTCACGATTAAGGGGCCAAGTAGTCATGAGGTGAACGGGGAAGGGAAAGGCTATCTCCTGTGCTCCAGAGATCTGGGCCCAGTTGCTCTATGCCAGGCAGGAGCAGCCCAGCCAGGTTGCTGAGAGCAGCGCAGCCAGGAGGGTTATGAAGGCCCCACAAGGCCAGCAGCAGCAGGTGCAATTGGATAGAGCCAGGAGGGGGCAGAGTCAATTCCAGTGTGCCGCATGGCTTTCTGCCTCATCGTAGCAGCAGCCTGAGCAAGACCAGAGCTCCAGGCCTCGTGGAGCGCAAACCGTGGTCGCCGCCTGTTCTAGAGCCACAAGGTGGCCTGCGGAAAATCTTGGCTGCAAGATTGCCTCATACTTTGGGCAGGGTTTGGGCTAGCAAGAGTGCACCAGAAACATCTCCATGTGCCCGGAGAGACAGAACAAGAACACTTGCTCAGGTGATCCGCAGGTCGTGATTAAGGGGCCAAGCAGCCATGAGGTGACCAGGGAAGGGCTACCTCCTGTGCTGGCCATGCTCAACCCCTTCACTAGGGCTTATTTTAGGGGTAGGGCTTATTTAAGAGGGTTAGGGTTTATAAGGCCCACCCCAAAAAATCAGTCTAGGACTTATTTTCACGGTAGGTTGTATTTTCAGGGAAACACGATATTTGTATTTTGGTTTGTTATTCTTTAAAAGCTGAAAACAGTTATTCATAAAATAGCAAAAACCAATTTGAAAATGACCTTCAGCAGGAAGATAGACTAAATCAATTGCTACAGGAACAGAAAATAAATGTGAATTACAACATGAGTTCATTGTTAATATTCATTATTTTGTGAGTGCGTTTTCTAAAATTTCCTCATGAATTATTGTTAATGTAATCAAAATATTTCACTTGTGAAAGTATTCTTGATGACTAAGAGGAAAACCAGTCAGAAGATTCAAAGACATTCAAGTGTTAGGACAAATTTCTGTTGTTATTCAGAGATACTTACAGTTGTATGAGATAACCATTTTTTTCTTTTTTTATTGTTAGGCAAACTAGTTCACAAAGGTTGTGGTATGCTTTTGAAGTGTCCTAACACAGTATTGGTAACATTTCTATATGACTGCAGATTATTGTTTCAAGAAAAGAACAACAGTTTGTAGTAGTTGCCTATCTGGCTGTCCTGCAAAATTGCAGTATCTGAATCTCAAAAATACTGCAGCCATCATGGATAGCCTTGTGAAGATTATGAAATTTCTTTCCCCTCCTTTAGCAGAAGATAACAATCTAAAGTAGAGAAAGAGTCTGCATCCAATCAACAGCTGCCAATACATTTCCTTAGTATTTAATTTGAACAGCATTGATTATTCAATCACATAAAATAATTGTAGTTGAATATGTAAGATTTAGATTCTTATAATGAACTAATAATGATGCACAAGATGGGCAAGATTCTGTGTCTTCTATTTTATCTCATCCCTTATATAGATAGCATAATTTTATTAATCATATTTTCTTTCTTCCTTTTATTAGATCACTTTTGAAGCAGAACGTGGGAAAGGTAAAACCGGAGAAATTGCAATTGATGCCATTCTACTGTTTTCTAATTTATGTTCTGAAGACCTCTTAATGTTGCATATCTGAACAGATTATTTTAATTTCTATTATATTATATATAATATTATTTTAAAATTTCAGACAGAGATTTTCTAATGCCATAACCTAGATAAAATGTTGATCTGGGAACTGCATCTTTACTGTGATACAATTTTTTTTTAAAAAAATAGTAGATTTAGATGTTTCTAGTTAGATAGTTCATTTGTACACAAACATATTACATTTTCCAGTACATGTAACTATGCTATGCAACTTATAGTCATGTCATTAAAAAAGTGTCTAGTGGTTTACAAGAGTAATCTTTGCATAAAATCCATTTAAGATAAATTTTGCTTGAATGTTCCGTGTTTTCCTCTAATATTGTCATGGGTAAACATTGTAAGGTCTTTGGCAAAATACTACTTGATACTTATTTTATGGCCTTGGACGCTTTTTTTAAACATAGTTGCTGAAACCTAATGGCATGGCTTCCTGACATTCTGAAAAGCAAATCATACAACGCATGGTGAAGTTCTAAAATAGATAAAAACAGAAGGACCCTACCTTCAAATGAAGTCTTGGTCCTGCATATAAATGTGTGTGATTATCACGACTGTTGATTTTGCAAGCTTGTTTCATATAATATGGCTCTCTCAAAGAATATTAATATGGCCACAACCATACAAGGCACACCTACTGTTGTCTTAGAGGTTGCCCCAGTTTATGGCAACTAAAAATGGCCTTATGCTCTGGATGTTTGTTGGAGTTACTGCCTCTTATTGCAATAAATACGTATAACACACAAGACACTTACATCTCTCAAAACATTTAGAAATTCACTGTTCAGGTGCCTCATATTTTACTGACACTGGTACCAGTATATGTATACTCGTATATAAGTCCATCTGTGAATAAGTTGACCTGGAAATGTTTAACCAAAATACCATGAAAAGTGTGCCACCTGCAGAGAAGCCAACCTGGATTTTTCATGGTATCTTGGTTAAATATTTGAGGGATTGTTTATCCACAGATGGGCTTAAAACAATATAGATAGTCCTTGATGTATGATGACAATAGGGACCAGAAGAAAGACAGTTGTTAAGTGAGTCATCTAAGTTTTACAATCTTTTATGCCATGGTTATTAAGCAAATCACTGCAGTTGTTGAGTAAATTAAGTGAATATAGCTTGCCCCTTAACTTGCCTGTTGGAAGCTAGGAAGGTTGCAAATGGTGATCACATGACCCTGGGATGCTGCAACCATCATAAAAACATGCCCGTTGCTAAGTGCCCAGATTTTGATCACATGACCAGGAGTATGCTGCAACAGTCATAAGTGCAAGGACTAATTGTAAGTCACATTTCAGTGCTCTTGTAACTTTGAAAAGTCACTAAATAAATGATTGTAAACTGTCAAGAACTACCTGTAGTATATACAGGAAATACAACTATTTTTTCAAAGTATTTTATATATATATATATCCTTCTTCACACTGAGCCTATTGAATGTAAGAATTTCATAGCCATCTGTTAGCAATCTGGTTGTTAATATTGTCTATCAAGGGCACATGCCAGCTAAATTCCTTCTGCCCACCTCTGTCATTGCTTTACTTGGGCAATGATATTTGACTGACATCCTGCTTACGAATTCCAGTTCAAGTGACAACTGATTGGCAGATAGCAGAAGACATAGACCAAAATAAGCAAAACAATATTTGTGAGATTGGGCTGAAGAAGAAAAATGGGGAACTTAAACATCTGCTTGCTTTTTTTTTTTTTTTATAAAAGAGTTTTTTTTAATTTTTGGACAAACATAAACAAAACATAAAGCCATCTTCCAATTACATACATATAGTGTGTTGGTTGGTTACAAATTTTTTGTGCATCTTCTCCATAGTCCTCACAATTGTTTGTATATATTCTCATGTTATCATATAGATATTTCTAAATACATTTATTATCGTTAATCAATCATTTGACTATACTATTATTCATTCATGTTATGCAAGATATGCCATATGTTTAAATTGATTTATCTTATAACAATTCATATTATCATCCTAAATTCATCCCATAATTATAATACAATAATACATCTTTATATATTCTATATAGTTCTATTCTCCTTGTATTGTAAAATTCTATATATTTCATTACCATATTTTATTTTCTAACCATTGATAAAATAAATCCCAAATCTTATAGAATTGTTTGTCTTGTTCTCTAATTTCAAATGTCAATTTACTCATTTCAGCACATTCCATTATTTTCTTAATTACTTCCTCCTGCGTTGGTATTTTCTCATTTTTCCAATTTTTAGCAAATACAATCCTAGCCGCTGTTAATACATTTACAATCAAATATTTCAATTCCTTACTATATATTTCAGATAAAATTCCCAATAAAAATATCTGGTTTCAAATCTATATGTTTTTGTCTTTTTTTCCAGCCATAAAAACTTGCTGCTTTTATATGGCATGTCCTCCTGTGTGTTGTGTGAACCTTATCAGTGTAATTAATGTTTAGTGCATCCAGCAAGCCAGATAATTGAATTGATAGTGCATGAATACAATAATATAAGAAGGATAACAAGCTCCAGGAGAGCAGATAAAACAGCACCAGTAGACAAAACAGGCTAGAACCAGATTAAATCAGACCGGAAGGAGTCATTTGAAGCACATTTTATGAGCTTAGTCTTCATTGTGCTGTGCTTGAGGATGGATTGTTGTATGCTGCCCAGATTACTTCTTGTGAATTGATTAGCCATATGAATTTGATAAATAAAATATCCCCTTCCAACGTTCTTTGCTATTGTTTATATTTTTTCACATTTTTACATACATATCTGACTTTACTAATACATATTAGGGAAGGAGCTTGTTTTTGGATCAAGGTAGTAGTTGCGAAATATACCCAATGCTACCCTCTTGTGGTCATTAGTAGGTTTCAGATCTATCGTCCTCTTATAATTTGGTATTATTAAGAAAGAAATATCAAAAGATCATCAAAATGAATTTGAATTTGAAATTAAAGCATTGGCTATATGAAACAAGCCATATTTATTTTGTTCTGTGAAAAATGAATCACTAGAATAGTTCAGGTGAAAATAAAATATTGTCATATATGCCTTTAAATGTGTATCTAATAAGGATTATGTGTTTTTTAAAAAATCCAAAAGAGGTGATTTGGCACACAAAGAAACACAGACAAAGCATCAGACTTTTTTCAGATTTCTGTAAGTTGACAGCTTTGGAGAAAGATTGTTGAAAGCTCCAGTAGGTAGTCCAGACCACAAAATCAATTATATGGAAAGACTAAAACTACTTTTATTAGTTCAGTCCACAAATACTGGGTATAAATTCTGGAGATCTACCATAGATGTGAATGCGTAGGGCAGCCAGCATATTGGAGAAGTTATAAAAAAATCTTGGAAGTTCATATGTTGTAAGAAAAACTATATAGACCTATTCATGTAATTAAAAATAAGTTGCTCATATTTATTTAGAGTTTAAATATATATAATTAAAGTTGTTATACAAGGGCCTTTGCTATGTTACATACAATACATAAGACATCTTGAAGATCCGTTTACCCCAATGGAAATTAAAACTGAATGTCAGCAGAAGGCAGCAGAAAGTGAAGACAAAATGCAAAGGCAGCAATATAAGCCATAACAAATTTTATAAGCATGTATGGATAATTTTAAAATACTATTGAAAATTATCTTCAGAATAAGCCAGAGTTAAAGAGTTTCTTAAACTGAAATAGAAATAAAGATGCCAAAGCAATCTTCTGGGGAGGAAACAATAGTTTATTAATACAGCAAATAGCAATAGCACTTAGACTTATATACTGCTTCACAGTGCTTTACAGCCCTCTGTAACCCCTCTCTGCGGTTTACAGAGTCAGCATATTGCCCCCAACAATTTGGGTCCTCATTTTACCCACTTTGGAAGGATGGAAGGCTGAATACTGTACTTCTAAAATTATTTTATGTTGCATATTATTTTTACATTGACCCAAATTTTGTATGTACATCTTGTGAACCCTTTAATACATAGTGAAGCCAGAGGGGGTATTCAGCAGGTTCTGACTAGTTCTGGAGAACCAGTAGTGGAAATTTTGAGTAGTTCAGAGAACCAGAAAATACCACCTCTGACTGGAGATTTTACAGTATCCTTCCCCAGCCACGCCCACCAAGCCACACCCACAGAACCTGTAGTAAAAAAATTTGAATCCCACCACTGATTGAAGCCTATGAATTCTTAGTTGCAATTCCGTTAAATTATCTTGAATGTACTGCTGTTGAAAGGTGTCAAAATGCCTTTCTTTCGAGGATTCGATTTTCCCACTGGGAGAGCTCCGGCGCAAGGATACGGACAACTGCTTGAAAGCTGGATCTTTTTATTTTTCAGGAAGGCGGAGAACAGCGAGAAGTCTGCATTCCTGGGCTAGCTAGCTTCTTATGGTAAGTCCCTGGTTTTTTATACCCTTTTCTCCCTTTGTAAATTGATTTTGTGTGAGTGTTTGTATTTGTGCTTAATGTTTCAAATCCTGTTTGAGTTTGTCTTTATTCCCGCCGGAGGGCAAACTCCGCGGGCTGGCTAAATTGTATTATTGGTTTTCTCTAATCTCTTTTAGCTTTAAGATAGTTTTTCATATTTGTTCTGTGGCAATCTTCTGTCTGTCCCTTTTGTAATTTATATTTTGTGTCTTTTGTCTGTTTGTTTTGCTTATTTGGTATGTCCTGTGTTTGTAAGGGTTTTCTAAATTATCTTTTTGTTTCCTTTTCTTATTTGTCTAGTTTTCTTAATTACTTAGGCTTTTGTCTCTAGGGATTCTTTAATACCTTTTTTATTTGATTCCTTTTCCTATGTAAGTTTGTTTTATGGCTGACCTGATGTTCCCCTTGGGCTTTTCCTGTTTTTGTGACACTACTGTCTTCGTGAAGTTCCCTTTCCACACTGCCAAATACACATACAGATTGACTTCAATGTGTTCTCATGTATCGTGTTTCTCACATAATAAGGCCGGGCCTTATTTTTTTTTGACCCCCGAAAAACCAGCTAGGCCGTCTTTTCGGGGGTGACTTAATTCCCCCCCCCTTGCATCCTCGGGTGGGCGGGCGGCGACAGCTTGGATGTTTGGGAGACCTTCCGCCACCGTTGCTTTTCCTTCTCCCTTGCTGCTGTGGCGTTACAGTAACGCCGCGGCGTTTGGCGCAGCCACGTGCAGCCAATCAGGGCTCCTCCCTGCAACTGGAGCCCTGAGGAGACACTTGGCTTCAGGCGCTCCTGTGGCCGCCTTCCCTTTGCCTTCGAAGGTAAAGCAAATTATTTTAAAAACCTCCGCTCATCCCACCAGGGCTGCGCCGGAGCCGTGCGAGCTGGGCAGAGCCGGGAAAGCGAGCCGCGGGTGTTTCCTGGTTCTGCCCAGCCCGCACGGCTCTGCCACGGCCCTGGCGGGATGAGCGGAGGTTTTTAAAATAATTCACTTTACCTTCGAAGGCAAAGGGAAGGCGCCGACAGGAGTGCCTGAAGCCAAGTATACCAACAACAAAAGGCAAATCCTCAAGGTGGGCTGGAGGGAGGTGGCTACGTGCCCCCCGGGCTGCTTCAATGCAAGGTCTTGACTTGCAGCATCCTGCTTTTCGCCACCGCCTCCCTCTCCGACTGCAAAACTCGTGTGCTTCGCCAAACGCTCCGAGCGAGGCGAGCTCTTTCATACATAGAGAGAGAGAGAGAGGGAAAGACGCCGGCATGCTCCGAGAGGCTGGCTCTTTTCTCTAGCCGAGGCTGACAGGAAGTGCCTCCAGGGCCGTGGCAGAGCCGTGCAGGCTGGGCAGAGCCGGGAAAGCAAGCCGCGGGTGTTTCCTGGTTCTGCCCAGCCCGCACGGCTCTGCCACGGCCCTGGCGGGATGAGCGGAGGGCCCGGCGGGGAGGCACTCACTGCCTTGGTGACATTTCGGGTGCCTCCGCCGCCTCCTCGCCCATCGCAGGTGGCGGTGGCGGCGGCAAGCAGCGGCGCTTCGCTGAGGGGAAAAGAAGACAGCGCAGCCACCTTGCTTGCTTTCCCACCTGCCCGCCGCAGATGGCCTCAGGAGCGGCGGCAGTGGCAGCAGGCACGCACACTCCTGCCGGCGAAGGGAGGAGAGGCGAGGAAAGAGAAGGGAGTGCGGCAGCAGCAGCTGTCACAATATCGTCTCATAGCGGGGCAAGGCTGGCAAACTGAGGTGGCCGCACCAGAGAGCATCGCTGCCGACCCCGTCGTGAGGATAAAGGAGCGGGATAGAGATTCAGTCAGATGTCAGCCTCGGCTAGAGAAAAGAGCCATCCTCTCGGAGCATGCCGGCGTCTTTCTCCCCCCCTCTCTCTCTATGTATGAAAGAGCTCGCCTCGCTCGGAGCGTTTGGCGAAGCACACGAGTTTTGCAGTCGGAGAGGGAGGCGGCGGCGAAAAGCAGGATGCTGCAAGTCAGGACCTTGCATTGAAGCAGCCCGGGGGGCACGTAGCCACCTCCCTCCAGCCCACCTTGAGGATTTGCCTTTTGTTGTTGGTATACTTGGCTTCAGGCGCTCCTGTCGCCGCCTTCCCTTTGCCTTCAAAGGTAAAGTGAATTATTTTAAAAACCTCCGCTCATCCCGCCAGGGCCGCGGCAGAGCCGTGCGGGCTGGGCAGAACCAGGAAACACCCGCGGCTCGCTTTCCCGGCTCTGCCCAGCTCGCACGGCTCCGGCGCAGCCCTGATGGGATGAGCAGAGGTTTTTAAAATAATTCGCTTTACCTTCGAAGGCAAAGGGAAGGCGGCCACAGGAGCGCCTGAAGCCAAGTGTCTCCTCAGGGCTCCGGTTGCAGGGAGGAGCCCTGATTGGCTGCACGTGGCTGCGCCAAATGCCGCGGCGTTGCTGTAACGCCACAGCAGCAAGGGAGAAAGAAAAGCAACGGTGGCGGAAGGTCTCCCGATATGAAGTGCTCCACCAACGCAGGCAGCACCATATCCGGGCATGCAACAAAGTACTTCCTAACGGCAAGCCCCCCCCGCCATTCCCCCCCCATTTCGCATGTTTAATATGGGCCTTAATTTGGGGGGGAGGGGCTTAATTTGATTTTATGCCAATAAATCATGCTGGGGCTTCCTATTGGTGGAGGCCGTATTGTTGGAGAAACACGGTAT